GTAAAATATTACGAATCATTTCATAGATGTTTCTTACTAATCAACTTATCTCTCTGAGATTCTCAATAATTTCAGTTTATTTTTTCCAGTGACTCTGTTAACTGTTCATGTAAAACAATCCATACAATTCTATCATCTAATAACGTACAAATCTGTAATGCATAAATCACCATGGCAAATCTATATCACTGTTATGAGTGCTCTTATATTTTCGGACCAGTATTATCTTTTTTAATGTCGCAATAAAGATTATTCGTAATCATTTGAAGATTAATATAAGATGTCAAATATTATTTATAAAGATTATTCGTGATCATTCGTATGCAATGCAATAATTCCGTTGATAACACCCGTTCCATTCGTCGATTCAATCCGCATGTGTTTCCAAAAGAAAGTTGCAATAAGTTGAATCGAACTTTTTCAACCTATCGCAAAACTTTCTCATCTTGCAGTTTCAATATTCAATGATGTCTGTACGACTGCACTCTGTCTGTTGTTACTCCAATGAAACAATATTCAAAATTTTCACTGATGGGATTTTTTGCTTGTTTATCTCATTCAACAGTCCTAAACTCGCCTCTCATGACCCTAACACAAAATTACATCACTGAACAGAGACGTCAACTTCACATCTGCCATCAGAGGACTATTCCGGCACCAAATTTGTAACTGTGAAGTCAAGCAGAAGTTCACGATCATAATTATATATTGGAATCCAAATGAGAATTTCGTGACGTATAATAAAAATAAAATCAAAATTTTATTCATATGTATAACAAAATACAGGCAATGTGTAATCCTCTTTCATCTATCGTTACATAACCACACAAATATAAATCACTAATTAATTGAGGGGTGAATGGCTGGCTTCCCAACTGATGCATCCAGCATTGTAACTTTATAACTAATCAAACTGCCGCACGCAATGCTAGTTCATACTTCTTGATTTTTGACGCGATGCTCATATCAACGTAACGATCACCGATATTTACAATTAATCCACCGATTATTTCGGGATTAATCACCGTTGTCACATGCAGTGTCTCACCTGCTTTCGCAAATTTCTTCAGCGCTTCGTTCAGCGACGTTTCTTGTGATTTCGTCAATGGCTGAAATTCGTTTGCAGTGAATCAGTCATATCCGCACTAGATGATCAGTTTCTGATCGACTGGAAATGCTGGCCAATCGACCATAAAATCGAATATTTCAATGAGAAATGAAATAATTAATAGTAAGCGAACGATAAATGAATAACTCACAGCCGCCGTTGTAATCTGCACGAACAATTCACCACGATGTGCATGCATAATTGCTTCAAACGTATTCAAGACTGCATCAAGTTTCTTTAATCGACCATTCTCAGCCATTAACACTAAAATTGACGTATTTTTTAGTAATTTCATATGAATCCCGTCCTATATTTTCCTAAAAAAGATATTTCAATTGCTTTCAATCGTGAGGATTACACGAAGGAATTACACAAAAATCATATTCATCTGTACGAACGGAAAACGCTCTTCTCCAGGGTATGGCATACAAATTCAAGCATATGATCAAAATATTAGCTTGAGCATTTGAACACCGAATTATGCTGCAAATAAGAATAATTCTGCTCAAGCAATTCCTATTGATGGGCAGTCGAAAGAGGAAAAAACAAATGAATCAAGTTTGAATAACTTGGTTCATACATTGAAGACAATTATCTATTCAAATTAAGCACAACTGATCTATGTCAACTCAAATTGTCCAAATAGCTTTGTTGAAATGAAGTCATTTTGACAGCTGATCGTTTAACGAGTAGGTTGGTTCACTATTTAGCTTTATGAAAAATACTAAGGTGAACGGTATTCATCGCTTGTAAGACATTTATGTTCTAATATCAACTTAATTTCTGAATACTGCATAACTGTATGACGTTACTGAAGCGAAACTCAAGCCTGTGAAGAGGGTTGGCGTCAAGTTCAAGACTCTTCTCTCGTTGAAAATCAAACCCAATGTCACGTGGCAACACTGTCATTCAATTGTGGCAGCACTAAACAATTGTTGTCAAACATGTCGTCATACTGTCAAATAATAATTTCAAATAATTCAAACGCAGAATATGGTTTAAGAGGTGAATCACCACCGAACGAATATAATGAGCTCGCCGAAAATCGCAACGGCAGGTAGTCCCACGACTGCGCTGCCAATTAAGAGAAAATTTTCCGATTCAAATTTAAGTCATGGTTAGCACAAAACTATCGCATTTCTATTGTTCACTCATTTCGGATCAACAACAATAAATGCTACCATATTCGTCTGATAACAAACTTCAATTCTTGCCTCATCCGTACTAAAAATTTCACTTATTCACACAATTATACCCGACGCATTCATTCACAATGTTTAAAACGAAACAACATGTGAACAAAGTTATAACACTGATTCAACTGATTAAAAATGTGAACATCCTTTAAAATCGAAGAATATTAAAACGATATGATGGAATGTTAGATTATTTTATGACTTATCAATGAGAATAATGATAGTACGAATGATCAGGTGTGATAATAATTAAAGGATTACTTGCGGCGACATTGTCAACTTCGGAATCAACATTTTGCACGAGTAATTATTATCCAAGTATAGTTGCCGCTTTGGTGTTCGGTCTACTCAATGTTTTATTCTCTTTAGCGATAAAAGCGAATAGCACATTGCAATTTTTCATCGGTAACAAATCACTGACATTATCAGTAGACTATCACCGATCAGTTTTATTCATTATTATTATAAAAATGATTCCTCATTTCTCGCTTTGACAACACATTATTGGAACTAAAAACCAAATTCCAGACGCAACCAAATCAACTACATTCTTCACATCAGAATAACTCTTTTCAAACCATATTTCTTGTAGACATTCTCATCATTTTAACCCTTCGTCTATAAAAATAACTGAATCCTTGAACTTCATATGTGTATATGATACGAACTTTCTCGTATCTAAATCGCTAACTGACTGCATCAGGGGACCCACTATAATCAGATAAAAAATTCACAACAATAATCCACTGTGATTTAGCTCCTAATCATCAGAAGTGCCAAATTTAGTACTGTCATGATATCCATACGATGTGATAGATAAACACTTCAATCATAAATTCTGACGAGCATGTGTCAGTTTCAGGCTGCACAACATTCGCGCTCGGACTTGTTTGCTATCAATGGTTTGATTTGCACGGAATG